CTTGAAGCGCCACGGACATCTCAAGCTCATTCAGACAAGTTCGAACCATGCATGTCGTCGCAGGTTTGCGGGCGCCGGCTCCTGGGTCCTGACTTGCCAGCCTCTGAGTTTCCTGGAATGAATCATGCGACATCATCCAGCGTCTAGACGACGTCACGGCGACATCTACCCCCCGCTCCGCCCAAATTTCTTTAGAGCATCTGCGGCATGGCATCGACGACGACAACGTTGTTCTCTCTCTTAATTCGCGCCAAGCTTGCGCAATTTGATTTAGATCTCCAATTTCAACGGCCAGGCTCTGTACTGATGCCAGCAACACTCTGAGCTCTGGCTATGTACCGCGCCATAATACACTTGCACTCGTGAAACCCCACTCAACACCCCTCGCCGTCCCCCAGTGTATGTATGGATCGCCTCCGAGTCGTAGTACTCTTTCACCCACACCAGCCGCTAATCCTTACAGTATGTGACTCGATTCGACGTCCGCCCCTTGAATGAAGTCCACCAAACTGTTACTTCTGCGTCGAGCGCCGTGTGGAGCGCGCGAACTAGACAGAGTCAGCTTACCCCTAAGTACTCCTGTCCTCTAGGGGCCTCGCTGCACTAATTGAATTTGAAATTTCTTTGGAACAAGGTCCCATCATTTCACCGTTGAGCTCATATGCAATGAGTGACATCACTGTCGGGTATGGTGTAACGGCTAACATTGCCGCCTCTCATGCACATTATGCATAATAGGAGTGGAAGTGCGCGGCAGCTCGGGGTTCGATTCCCCGTACCCGAACTTGACTTTTGGATAGGCGTCTTCGCTTTTTTGGACGGACGTAGAGTTCCGAGTTGACATCGGCGCTACTGCTATGTGAGTCCACAACCTTCATTTTGCTAACTGAGATATCTAACTCATCACCTACCCATGAGTAGTACTCACTGCCCCATGGCACGCATCAGGGGACACATATACTATGAGACTGAGCTCCGAGTCCAGCCTCACACGAGTGACGAAGATACCCACTAGAGATGTTGCCGCTTGCGCTACGGGGA